TCGGCATGCTGTTCAGTCAACTGTGTTAACGCTTTTCTTCGAAAAAACCACCTTGCCTTATCATACTCACGGTGGGTTCCTAAACTTCACATATTATCATGAGCCTGCTTTTAAGAGTTCAATTTTTAAAATTTTTATTGCTTCAATGAACACTATTGTAAGCTTAGAAAGTATTTATCTCAAGACTATTGCATGTCTATGAAGAATGGAATGGAATTCGAATTTATTTCTCTATTTATGAAGTCGAGATCTGACCAAACCTGACTATATTGGGATGTTGTTAGCTATCTCATTACTTTACATTCCTTTCTGTTCATCTGTCCTTTGTTCCTTCCCCAACATTATTCTTAAGCACAGTTTGTAAGGTATTTCTCCCTCCTTTCAGCATGCTTTCACGGTGTAACGGTAAGACACTCGGCTCGTATTTAAGAAGTCCAGGTTCGAGTCCGGTGAGGGCATTGCATATTTTCCCCGTCTTCAAAATAACTTGATGACCCGGAACTAAAACGTGCTGGACAATAATTCGTCACCATCAGGATTTGGCGACTAGATCCCCTAATCTCCAATCGCTCTTTAAAAGGGGAAGTATACTGTAAGGCATTCTCTTCCTTCATGCGAAATTGTTGTACAGGCAAAATATCAGCGATAAAGTTACATACTTTACCAACAATCATTGAAAAAAATTAAATTATGACTGATTGAAACCTATCTGTCTTTGTAAGACACTATTGCATAAATGTTTGATTCTTTTACCCCTCCATATTTTACTTTCACAAAAATTTCACAGAATTCTATTATTAAAATCCTACTGTCCCTTGTACCAAATTACTTCTATTATGTACAATTACTGCTATTATGTTCGGAAACTAAATGAAGGGGTCCAAATGTTTTAAAACTACGAATTTTATTACTAAAAATCTAGACATTATAGTTCAAATGTTTTATTACTGTGTATAAAATATTAACTGTGTATTAAAACACATATTTTGTACGGTCCATGAGATATAGTAAAAATAAAAGAATTATTAATCATATCATTCTGCGAAAGCTTAAAATTTTCGCGCTACAGGTAAAACTGGGTGAAATACCATTGGTCATATATATATAATTACACCGCATTAACTGTATATATTCGCCCCAATACTGATTGAGATCACCGCTGGAGACTTGTTTGAAAGTCTTCCACCTCTCTTTCCTAACCCCCAAACCACCCGAGAGGCTATTAATATTTTAAATAGCCCCATGCAGATGCTATGCACTTCCAAACGTCCATCCTTCTCCGGGAATCAAGCTCGAGTCCAATAACATGGCAAATCGCTAACTCCTGTACCGATCAGGATGATCGAAACAGGCAACAGTTGAACAAATGGCCGTCCTCCCCCCAGTATTTAAGGCGTGAGGAAGGGAAACGTGTCATGGAACCAAAGCATTTGCTTTCATACAATTCGTATCATAAAAAGCGCTATTACATCACGCATGCGTTGTGTTCTAGAAGAGATGTGAAATTTGACTTAGCTCTTGACCAGAACAACTAATTTTCTTTAATTTTAATTCTACGTTTGTTTCTTATTTCTTAGTTTCTTCATTTTTTATTTATTTAATTTCTCATAAGCAGATGCGTAGCCTCTGTGAAGTGCAGGTGAGGCGCTTGGGGCTCCGCAGAGCACAGTTTGGGAACCGCTGGTCTAACGCATTGGTCATTTTATAGGTGATAACACAAATATCTCCTCCATCACAAGTTTGATGGAGAACCATCTCGGGGGAAGAATCCAAGGGCCTTTAATACCAGTCTTTTTGTGTCATCAATTTCTCGAAAGGTCTTTCGGCTGGAAGACATTTTAAATTATGTTGACTGCTGTATCCAGCAACGCATGAGCTTTTAATATTGAACTTTTTGATCTGAATACTTCAATCAGTATACAGATATCTATTCATTCATTCAAAGCATAATATTGTTTCAATTAAGAAAAAGTCATAAAATATAAACAAATGGAACACAAGCGTAAAAAGGAATTACTAAAATGAATTAATTTGTAATAAATTTTTCGTGTTAAATTCTTTGTATTGAATATTAAAATTTACAAAATCAAAATAAATTATTTAAAATGAATAAATAAGATTGGTTTATCCAAGTTCTTTATCAAGGGAAGAGATCTAATTAAATGAATCAGGAATCAGAAGCAATTTATCTCACAGGCAAAAGTGTAATCCTAATTTATTATGTAACTTTTGCCTGGCATTATTTCTATTAATTACAAAAGACTTACAGAAGAAATTAAAATTTACCCTACCTGACTAAACAAAACTAATTACTAATTAATAAGATGATTATCTTGACATCAGCATTATCGAAATAAAAAAGATACGGTTATTTGACAAAAGTTGTTTAAATTTAAAATCATTTAACTTATTAATTGGAATCCAAACATCTCCAAAAAGTTATAACCAACGCTATTATTAACCAAATTAACATATAAAGTTATGGTGTTTTGGGAACATAAATTTTAAAAAAGGGCTTTTGAAGAATTATCTTCTAGCCTTTGTGAAACTAAAACAGAGATAAGAAGAAGGGTGTATAAGAACCTTTTATTGGAGCATATAATTAACAAATGACCCAACTTGGGTTACAGAAAGCCAACACTTCTGGCTCTAAAAATCTTCTGGCGTGTAGGTTAGCCTAACGACTCACAAAATGCTTTAACGCGCAGGAAGAGCTCTGGTCTATAGTAACCGGCGAGACAAGCCTAAAGGCGAGATCATATCAACGCCGCTAACGCAAGTTCCTAATAATCACAGCACAACGTGGCCTGGAACAGACAGACACGCTCTAAAAATAACTTCCGAAACATTTGCTTAACTAGCACTTCATTTTACTTTAATCTGAATAAACTCTCGCTATCTCATTTACACTGTGGCATGAAAAGCGCGGTTGGAAAGAGAGGGGTAAGAAAGGCTTTTCAACCTAAAATGAATTATTAGTTAAAAATAAATAGTTAAACCTCACAGAATAAAAAAATGGACACCGAAGTTAGTGATCTGCATAATAAAATTAAATTTTATATTAACACACTTACAAAAATAAAATTTTTAACTGTTATATTGATAGACAATCCCAAAAACTTAGCTTTAAGTGTACCCCTTTTTAATATTACATATAAAGAATTAACTTGAGCCTTAACAGGAAATCATTATCGTATGGTTAACGTATTTAAATAAACACACTTTATATCCGTTTTATTTAACAATAGGCTTATTTTATGATCCACTCTTTGCATATCTCTGTAAAGAGAAATCATATGACTTTTAAATTATCTGCTCTGTTTCCTAAACTGAAAACAACTTCTACCACTTAATGCAATCTTGATTATATAATAAATTTTACGGCTTTAAATTACTTTCATAACCTCTTTAAACATTAGGATCCTTGCTACCTTAAATGCGAATTTAACTACACTAATGTTTCCCAGTTCACTTTTGTATATCACACGAGTTTGAAAAATTTCAAAACGTTTAGATTGCAAATAGTGGGTAAGCTGCAAGTTTTTGTACTATTTTTCTCATCTTTTTATTTTAATTATTGATTTTAATTCAATTTTAGGCACTGTCTAACATCTGTTCTTCATTTTATTTAAATACTTTGTTTAATATTTGCTAATTTTAGTTTCTTGCTTTTTACTTTACCATTTGTAGAATAGTTTTGCTAGAAAAATTTCATTAACTCATTTATTAATTATTAATTATTTTTATTGATTTGAAATTAAAACTTTTAATCTTTAGTCTGTCATAAAAGTCAGAGAAAATGGCTCCAGATCTATTAAGTCTATTGTCTTGATAAAGAACTTGGCTGAACAATAGTTCATCTTTTTAAAACAACTTATTTTAAGCAAATTTCAAATGCTTATTACTAATTAACGCATTTTATTAATTCCTTTTTATGATTGGATTTCATTTGTTTGCCTCTTATGTGTTTTTTAACTGAATTTTTAAATTAAAGTATTTCTTTATGGTTAATTATTACTGCATTTGCGCAAATTAGACAATTTTTTCTGGTAAATACACGTATGCATCTTTATATATTACTGTCAAAGTTCTAGACATTGCCTAGACATTCTATAGAACGCTAAATGATTAACCGACAAAATATGAAATACATTTCCGATTCATTTCGAATAACCGAAACTACTTACAGAAGTTAAAAAATGATGTAAAAAAAAGCTAAAATGACTACCAAGAAGGAATTGTAGAACTATGGGTTGCTGAATTACTGTGATGTGATATTCGAGGGGAAAACTCATTTATCCCGCTAAAGAACGTATCAGTACTACTATATAGTATTACGTCATGGACACTGAGTTATTTCATGTACTTTATAAAACTCATTTGATTTTTGGACACGGAACAAGTGATAGAATGTTGAAAGAACTTTCAGTCAAGTGCAAAAACATTACACGTAATGATATCAGCCATTGTGAGCCCTGCCAGTAAAAAACAAAATGCATTAAAAAGAGCATTATGAAACCTATGATTTTTCCCTGAATTTTAATTCCCGTTGTCAGGTAGCTATTATTGATTTCTAGTCTCAGTCAGAGAGAGAATAAAAATTTATTACTGTATACCAAGATCATTTCACTACTTTTTTTTACCTATTTTGAATAAAAAAAAATTTATTGGTCTTTCATTATTTTTTTAAAATAACATTTGTATTTTTGAGGAATGAACGTCTTTTAAATAGCCTTATCATGACCTTTTTTCACAGTTCACCGAAAGAGCATTTGTCATCCTATAGCATATGAAATGTTTGGGTAAAGTATATAACAATTCTCATATTTCCTACTTTGCCTAAAGACGCCAGATATTCTTAAAACTGCCGGGGTATTTTATAGAACGGAGTTCCTACATTGGCAGTTATATATAATAAACTTGAAAACTTAGAAAATAAGAAAAATTAAGTCAAAAAATATAATCTTTAATATGTCTTTAACACTTATTTTGTGTTACAGGAATACCAGTTAAAAGAATCCTTCCTTCTCCTCGATGGACCACCAAAACACCTTCACTTGTGATTCAGGGAAATAGGATTGGTCGATTGTGGACAGAAAAAACAGAATATTTATGGGCTGAAGGTCCGTCCGGAGACGGCCCAGCAGAAGAATGGGAAGGGACCCCACTCGCGGATACTAAATTTGCCTCTAAGAGCGACGATGGCTACAAAACTCGATCTCCTCTGCCAGAAGAAATTTTTCCCAGTTATTCAGATCCTTTTCCCACTATAATAGACACAGTGATAGAAAGTTCTGAGATGTTTAACGAAGAGCTTTTAAGTCGAAGCTCCGTGCCTTTCGAAGGTCCCTCCTCCTTGCTCAATACATTCATCTTTAAGCCTAGTCTTCAAAGTGATTCATATATTATTTCTCCAACGCCGACTGCTGAACTTTCATCTTTTCCTACAGGCAGCATGCGCGTTATAAGTGCATCTTGGTATGGGATGATGGACTATGAGTCTCCATGGTTGGAAAAGTCTGATCGACGAGCAGTATCAGAAACACCAAGTGAAAATTTTGTTATTGTCACTGCCATTTCAGCAACGCATATTTACAGTCACAGTTACTGGACATTTTCCTATCTCATTACTCCGTCCCTTACTATCTCATATAGCTTAATGACACCTAAACTGCCATCCGAATTCTTTTCTTACGCCAATAGTTCAACAACAACAAAAATCATTCCGACCGGCGAAGTAACTGCCACTTCGACGTCACATATCATAAAACCATCTGTCTCTTTGATGAGTTCTTTTGATGAAAATGTGAATACTTTTAATGGTTCATTACCGAAAAGCTCACTTCATAATCAATATTTTATTTCTTCATCTGTGGATTCAATTTCCATAGCATTATTTTCAAACGTTCCCTCTAGTTCGAGAGGTATTTTCTTACCAGAAGTTTCTACTCAAACATATATTCATGATGCTTTTGCTGATATTTCCTTAAACCATAGTCTTTCTTCCGAATTTATAATCAAGAGCGTATCTCGCTTAGACTTTACGTCAGCAGAAGACGTAATTAGTCAGAAGTTTACAAGTTCAAATAATGGAGTATACTTGATAGGTGAAAGCATGTTGACAATCTCTTTTCACTCGGTGAATGACGTACAGACTACAGTTACTGTAATTGGTTACAGCGACAAATCAAGTGGGTTTTCCTTGCCTACTCTAACCGTTAGAGGCACTGCAGTCGGAAGCAGACCAGACAAAATTGCCAGCCATACTGTAGATACGTCTTTTAAAAGTTCGGTTTTTAGTAAAGAAAGTGTATTTTCCTCTGAAACATACTTGACATCAGATTTTACAGAAACTCATATGACGGAAGTACCTAAGTTTACAGAATTTACAGAAAATATACCAGTTATATCCTTATGGCCTTTATCTGAAGAGCTTCCATTTGAAAATATAAATTCTATATTTTCATCGGAGTTTCATACTCCAACCACAATTCCTTCTCATTTAGTCGAAACTCCGACTATATCATCTTACTTTCAGCATGTTTTTAGCGTAAATACTTCACACGGGACTAATGAAGCATTTACTAGTCTGAAAAGTCATTCAGTTTTCGAAACAACTTCAAGATATTTCGAAGCAACAAAATCCGTGAGTTCTTTAATATCCAATGACACAGAAGGTGACAACAACATGGAACAACTGGTCACTTCTCTGAGCTTATTTCATAGTGAACTTCGAACAGATTCTGAAAATAAATCACATATCAACCAAATTACAAGCATATTTCCAAAATCCAAGTTTTCTAAAGAAATAACTTCAGATTATATCATTCCGAGCCAAATTTCAGGTGCATTTTTCAGCTATCAGACTCTTGCTTCTTTTACGGAGGAAAAATCTGATATTGGCTCAACACAGTTTTATCATCCTATATTTACTAGTTTCAGTGCATTTAACAATTACAATGAAATATCTGAACTACGGGAGCCCACTGTAACGATGGACAGAGAAATTAATGAAATTATCGAATCGCAACATGAGACAACTGTTTTGAATATACCACAGACATCTATTCAAACTAAATTAGATTACAAGACTTTCACATCAAGTAATGAAATGGCAGCCTTTCAAACATTTTATTATTCGGAAACAGAGCTTGACAACTCCGTTACACATCATATTACGGTAAGGTCTTTGAGAGATTCATCGATTCACGAAATAACTCCCGAATATAATGACTATTCAACCGTGAGTGAATATCCACAAACTAGTCAGTTAATTTCCTTTCCAGAAGATTCTCTTTCTGCCACTTTAAGTTTAGCAGCTGATTATACCACCTCTTTTGTTGAAAATGTATCTGACATGAGTGTGGATTTAACAACGAAATCTTTATATAATAAAAATGTTATCCCATCAGATACAAGTAAGATTTTGGATATTTATTTACTACGCAGCACAGAAAATGTATTGTCTGAAGAACATGAAATCAATTTCCCTTTAAGTATTCCAAATATTCCATCCGTATCTGGTGATGTAAGTAGTCCAAAATTTGAAGACATCTACTTGACATCGTCCGAAATCAAAAAATTCATATCAAGTACTCCTACCATGACCGAAGAAGTAACCACTTTTGCCTTTCTGGATACATTAATTCTTTCTTCTTCATATGGGGCAAAACCTTCTGACACTGAACTATTTGACAAAAGTAAGACTTATCTCATACCTACTCCTTCATTTTCTCAAAGTTTTTGGGAAAGTCTTGGAGATAGTTACGATGATGTAATTTCCCATGAATTGAGAAGTTCCCCTGTGTATTCCCAAACTTTTGACAAGTCTGATGTTCTATTTATCAGTTCGGAAGAAGAAATGCTTCAGGATTCATTTCTTACAACCTTTCGAAGTTATGGTGAGAATTTAACTCCAACGAGTCCTACATTTGTTACAGTCTTAGAAAATTTCTCCACAGTTTCTGGAAGTTTTTTTAATATAACGGACTTGGAAAGTTTTCTTCCACTTCACCCTTCAAGCAAATTCAAAGATTCATCAAATACTACAAAGTCTGAATATCATTCAGGAGTAGAAACTTCGGATGTGATTAAGACTGAAGTAGATCAAAGTTCTACCGTTGTTTTTACTGACACAAGTAATACTGGAAAATTTACAGACAGTGATAAAAGTAGATTTGAACTATCATCAAAATCCTATTATTTAACAAGAAGTATTGGCTTTTCAAGCCATATGCAAGTTTCTACTCGTAATATTCCTTTTCCAAGTGCATCTGAAGATTTTGGCTCCGAACAATTTAGTGGTATAAGTAAAGCTATGTCAAAAAATTACACAGAAAAGTCTGATATTTTTGATCAAGTAGTTAATGAGACTTATAATCTTCCTGGGTCCGATCTTGCAAGCAGTGAGTTGATGAGTACTTTTTCTATCCTTTCTTCTTCAGGTTTCATGGTATATCAAACACCGACATTATCTTATGTCAATAGTGTTGATAGTGGAGGCTTTCATGAGACAGCCCTATCTGTTTCACGCGAGTATGATGAATCTAAGACTGATGCTAAAGTGTTATCTACTGATACCTTCGAAGCAAGCAGCGAAGTGGAAGAAATGCCATTTAAAAGCTTACCTGATTTATTTCCTACCCCTTCTATTGACCCGAGTATAAATATATTTAGTTACCCTGACTTTATTAAAAGTACTGAATTATCCGCGAAAGCAATCAGTGATATGCAGGATGTATTATCTGAGCCAAGCATAAATTTTCCATTTGTTGAGACTGAAGTACTGAAAGGCAGCGCCGCTGAGGAATTTAGTTCTCATTCTGTAACTAAACATACTTTATCACAAGCAACAATCACTGAATACATTCCTAAATTGTCTCCCAGTACGAATTTCACTGAAATAAAAGATCCAGCAAGCATAGGATCTGGTCAACCTGTTCCAAGATCTTCATCCCTAGGTTTAACAATTAATAAAGTTCCATCATTAATCTTAAGTGGGTATCAAACTTCAGTGTCAAATTTAAGTGCTACCCCTTCATTACATGAAACTGATTCTAAATTTCTAAGTTCTACTCTTATTTTGACAGACTGGAAAATAATTAGTCAAGAAGCAAATTCAACTTTCAAATCATTTGATTCGAAAAAAATGAGTAATAAAACAACTCCTAATTTTGTCTCATCAGATAGGATTAGTAGAACACTACCAGCTATGGTTTTAACAGATTCCAAGGTAACTATAAATAAAGTAACTCCGCTTTTGCTTTCATCAGACTGGAAGGCAACTAGAAGCAAAACAGCTCTGTTGCTTGCTTCGTCACCTTTTACTGATTCTGAATTAAAATCAACCTTGTTCAGTGAAGAAAGCACATCTCCGGGTTTCGATAATGATACACTCATGGTTTCTGTTCTAGCTGTCAGCTCTTTCACTGGCTTTAATAATTCAAAGAATATTACCGCTGGATTTGGTATCAGTGGAACATCAAAGAACGAGTGGCCTTATTCTACTGCTGGAACGTGGCCCCTGCCCACAATGGATACTGCACTGTTCAAGGACAACCACTACTGGGTTCTTTCAGGTAAGCATTTATTTTTAAAATATAGCTTTATTTTATAATTAACTAGGCTTGTAAAATCCTAGTCATATTTTCAGTATTCCTTTTTGCAACTCTGTAAAGTCAAATTTAATTAATCTTCAGAATATCCCTTACGCTAAGTTTTGTAATTACAACTTAACAATTTAACAAAGCATATCCATCACTACTTGCGCGGTCTTGGAATGCACTAGCAAATAATTTACCGACTCCTCCTAAATACAGAAAAATAAAAGAAACCAACTTGGCTAACAAATGGGCGGCTTAAAAAATAAACTTCTTTCCTAGTGCTTTCCAAAAGCTCTCTCTCTAAACTACATCTAATTTGTATTCTGATGAGCCTAACGAAAGAAGCATAAGCTAGAGAAAGGAATTAATATAAATATACTATTTTGTAATCTGAAACAAACTTTACAAAATTATGAAGTCGACTAGTAATTCGAGTTAAAATTACTATTAACAATTGTAATAAATTGATAGTTGTAGTATTCGCAAAACATTAAACTACAAAATTTATGACAATTATTCTTTAAATATGTTACAATTCGAAAATTATATTACTGAAAACTGTGCATCAGTGTAATTTAGCTGCGACGCAAAATAAGTTAAAAGGTGAGGAAAATAACATCAATTTATTCTGATATTTTACTAATGTTTACTCGTATTAAATTTAGAAGACAAATTTTATAATGGATAACTGGCTTTTGAGAGGATAATGTTTACCGTTAAGTGTCATACTCTAATAAATATTACTATAAAGTATTTATGTTTTCATTTTAAAAAATAGTGACTATATTGCTCCGAAAAAAATGAACAATTATTAAGTTTTCATGTAAAATACAATATTATTTCATGTAAAATACAATATTATTTGCAATTGAAAAAAATGTAAGATGAATTTTTCTAAAAATCAGCCGGCAGAAATTTTGGATTTGAATACTTTAATATGCAGATTTACTAATGTACCTTTTACTATGCAGATTAATACGACGTTCCAAATGCCAGCCAGACGTGCTTTCCAATTAACAGCATGAAGGCATGCAGCAAAGGAAGAAAATCCTTACTTTCTCCCCACTTAAAGGGTGACAGGGGAGGCCGGGATTCAACTGGAAAACCCTGTGATGACGAATTATCATCCACACAATTTTAGTGGTCACTTTCAGAGATAGTTGTCTGACGGAGTTTCCAGTCGCCATTGCAGCTGTTTATCATTATTTCTTTATTGCTTCTTTCTGTACGATTCTTGCTTCTCTTCCTTTCTTCCCCATACAGCAATTATGTATATGTGGGTCACACTAAATTAGAGTTATAGATAGTTGCCTTGCAAAAATATGGGGGAAGCATCGAAATATAGCATGTTATTCAAATGAATAAATGGAAATCGTATATAGTACATCTATATGGCATAACTTATCATTATGTATGTATAGTATATCTGATTATTATACCTGATTATAAAATAGTTTGAAGCGCCATTAGGTTTTTCGAAGCAGGAAACATGAAAAATGTTCATTACTTTCTTTGGAATTTGAATTTTAGAATTGTCGTTTGCTAGCCAGAGGTGCTTTCAAGTTACACCATAAAGACAAGAGGCAAGATGGGAGAAAAATCTTACAGTCTTAATTCAGTAGAAAAATTTATTCATATCGTGTGTGCGTGTTTGCACTTGTATTCATACTGAGTGTGTAACCTCTGAACAAACAATATCAAAAACTTTCTTTAATTTTAGAGGTTTTGCCGGGTACATTGGTAACATAATATTTATCTCAATGACCACAGAAATTACTATGCATTGGCCGTAAATAGATAATACCCGGTATACCCGTTCAGATGGGTAAAATCATTTGGGCTTAATCCATATTCATTTAGTGGAGGCAACCTTATTTCCATAGTGCAGGCTTGTAGAGACAGTGTAAAAAGTACAATCTTCCGGTCTCTAAAAACATATCTTCACGGCAAGGAAATGAACTGAGAAACTAAGATCATTATTAATATTCGCTCATTATCCGAAGCTTCGCTGCCTACGTACCTCTGCAATCATCTCTGTCATGTCTGTTAACCCGTGGCCTTCGAGATTAGTTATCTCGAAGGCCACGGTTGACCTCGCACCATATAAAGGTGGAGTGGGAGATTATAATCAATCTAAAGATTTTAAACCTCTGAATCTATAAGGGATCATTCACACGATGGTCTAGTCGTCATTATTGTCGTCGTCTTAAAGCGTAAAAGTTGTTGACACCTATCACACCTGTGAAAGAGTGTTTAAGCTGTAACCAATCAAAGAAGGTAAAGTTGTGTATGCGTGAATGTGCAGCTGACTCATAAAATTCTTCGACCGAATGTCAGTTGGTGTTTCCTTCGCTGTAACTAGTTGGTTCTTATACCATGTTGACATAAAGTTGAATGGTTAGAACATTTAGACAAATCCTTATACCAGTTTCTGTGATGTAGCAAGGTCTGGTTGCTTAGCAACGAAGATCGTCTTACGCCTCCTCTGTTTACAAAGAGCCCTCGTGGGACACTTCATAAAAGATAAAAACTGAGTAATGAGAAAAAGTTTATGTGAATCAAAAGCTTTTTTGTTTTCGAATTCTCCGAATCTTCTGATATGCTGCAATGATAAATACCATGCAAGATAATGTGTCATGCAATTATCCTAGTAAGGCGTAAAAAGTCAGAAGCTCTAAGATTAATAAATATCGCGTATTGTAATAGCATGTAATATTTTTCACTTTCGTGTAAGAGAAGAAATTTACAAAATTAATTAATGATGAAAATTACCATGTGTTCCCAATCAACAAGTTATCTTAAAATAAGTACATTGTGCAGTGTGAAATGTAATAACACGATTTGAAAAGTTATGATAAATACTACATTTTTTGACCTATTACTAGCAAATTAGTATAACAACTGTAGTTACTCCTTACTTCTATAGTGCCAATAAGAAACATCACGACTTTCACACGTGATTGCTTATTTTTCTTTTTTATTAGCAGCTACTGAATTAATTATGCTGATTACGTAAAATATTTCCATGGAGACAAAACAGATCCCACCATCATTTTTACAGTCCTTGAGTGTTCTATCATACCAAGACTATACACTGACGATCATGAGACACGTGGCTATCCACCTATAAACAAACTGCCGAAGAAATATTTAACACTGAAAAATCAGTGTTGCTGATCTGTTTTTGAATCTAATGCAGATTATGTTTTGTAAGTGCGGAAGAAGGTACCCGAACTTAAGCCTAATTTATTTTTAGATGACAGTACGTGGCGGACTTACAAAATGGCAGGGCGAATTTTTAACAGAAACGCATCGCTCTTTGATGAATAAAGATACTTGCCTCAAAATGAAGGTAATCAAAGACCATTCCTCGCTCTTTTTGAACTCACTGTTTTTTTAATAATACTAGTAAGAGTTGGAAACTTGAAATCTTTCAATACGTCATTGCTGCAGACACAGCGCGAAGAATCCTAACGATGAGAATGAGGCCAGAGCCTCCTTCTCACTTGTGGCACACCATCGAAAAAAAGCGGATAGTACATTGAATGAATTCATGCACTTACGCTGAGCGTATCCGAGGAAGATTAATTAATCGCAGTTCAAATGTGAATGTTTGCTTTCACACATTTATACATATCGAAAATTGTAGTTTCATTTTATAGCGGAGCATGTAAATTTTTCAGAACCTGTCCTTGAGCATATCGTGAGAGAGAGAAATAGTTATCTGCTCATTACATAGGCAAAGGAAATGATGAGATATAGATGAGAAAATTTTTAGTTTTAAAGAACTTAACTGCATTCTATAAAACTTATTCCGATATATCAGATAAGACTAATGTATTAGGATTTCTATAGCTTATTAGAATTTCAGTACTGATTCTTCAGGAAAAATTCGCTAGGCTTCAAAGCATGGAAAAGAATATTTGATCATTATTAGTAAAATGTTGTACAAATTAGCACATCATTTGGCTTTTAAGCTTTTCTTTCTAAAATGAATTACGTTTGGGTTCGCGTCAGAGATTTTTACCTCTTTGGCTTTTCATATTTAAATATCACTCTCAACTATACGTACGTATTATTTTGTATTCAAGAGATATTTTAAATTAGGTTCTAGTTGAATTTAAACATGCTTTAAATTATTTTAAATTAAATTTTCCTATTTTTAATGCCTCATCTGCGAATGCAAAAGTACAATTATATCGTTTCCTTTGTTTCACTGCATTAAGCATGTTATAAAAGTAAAAACAACTTTACAGAGATTGTTCATGAATAACATTCTTTGTATGTGGAAATAACAAACGAACGGAGTTTTAAAAACTCTGAAGTGAAGGATCTAAATGACAACTACTGGATTAATGTTTTCTAACAATACACGTAATACTTAAGTGTTTTAATTCTGAATTAACTTTTATTATTTTTGTGGGAGGAATTTAAATTCTTTTCCGAGATACCGTATGAAAACTTCATTATTGATAAAATAAAATACAATTAAAAAAAAGATTTTATACAGTGAGCTTTTATTTAAAATACATATGATAATTACTGCCCTAGAAAAAGAAACATAATTAATTGTATATTATAATGGGAATAACGGGTTAAATAATTCTATTTACAGAATTCATCTACAATTTTATATCACTAATAATAAAAGAGTAAGCCGCCCATGATAAATTTTAAAAAAATCTGATGTGTACACCACATGACTTCCTTGTACGTAATATTAAATTATATACATATTTCCTGCATTTCATTTAGACGTATTTCCTCGAATTTCATTAGAGATATATTTCTCATTCAATTAATTCAGTTCTCACTTCTCGGCAAGGCAAAAATACATAAAACCTCAAAATATTTTTATTAAATTATAAAACATGAATACAGTTAAATCAATATAAGGAACAACTTTTACAACTAAAACAAGCAATTCGACCAGCGGGCCAGAAGGCAGATTTTTCGGTGCACAAACCTGAAAGTTT